ACCTAAACTTGTTCAGCCAGATCGATTGGCTTTCTCATCTAATATTTAAAAGCACCCAGGCTCCTTGCAAGGCAATTGGAGATGCAAAAGCCCATGTGAGTGATAGTGTGTGTGTGTGTGTGTGTGTGTGTGTGTACATGCGTGTGTGTATTACAGTAAAGTTAACATCTTTAGTGTCTCCAGTTTTTAAATTCTCCCTTTCTGTCATGCCTCATACCTCTACATTTTCTTTTTATAGCACCCAAAATCTATTCAGTTTTCCCCAATATTTTAAATTCCACCTGGAATATATTGCAATGGTGACAGCCAAGAGTGAGGAATAAAGATTATATTGCATCATAGCTCAACCAACAAAACCTAACATTATCCAGGCCACCTTTAAAAGTCTTTAGGCCACTTTCATAGCTAGCAGAGAATGGCCAGGTGTAGCTGTGGATGTGGAGTAAGTGAAACCTTCATATCGCGGTAAATAAGGATCAGGATAAACAAATAGGCCGAATAGATGTTTATTCAGGGAGAAATAACTTACAACCTAGACAGATGAACATCAGGAAATTTAACCCGATCCTCTCCTCTCCGAGTCATGCCAGAAAGAGAGTGCCTTTCCTGGCCCCCTCCGACCTCCTTCCACAGGTCACTCCGCCCATGCCTCCACCCCCAATGGGCGTGGTCAGTGCCACAGAACTATCTCACTACACCTTCAAACATGGCTGCTGGTAGCGTCATTGGCATCTTCATTTGGGAACATTGCTTAACACTTTCCACAGGCTAAAACTGCAAATGGCATTGGATCTGAAATTCTGTGCCTTTGGATATGCCTAACAAAAATATAGGCATATTTTCACCAAAAAGCAGCAGAAAAATCTTACCAGTTTAAAAGCTAGAGGAAATTCAAAAGAAAATAAAAAAGCATGAAACAGGTAAATGGAATGACTATATAATGCAAGACAATGCAGAAATGGAAAAATTAAATGTAATATAACTCACAGATAGACCAAAAATACATATTATTTAGTAACAGAAGCCAGGTACCGAAGAGTACTTACTATAGAACCCCATCCATATAGACATAGAGATAGCCCACCTAGTCCTTGGTGTTAGAGATCATGATAATAAAACTACTCATTGCCAGATATGGCAGCATGTGTCTTTAATCCCAGAATTCAGGAGGCAGAGGCAGGAGGATCTCTGAGTTCAAGGCCAGCCTGGTCTACATAGTGAGTTACAGGACACCTAAGACTACACAGAAAGACCCTGTCTCCAGTTTAAAAAAAAAAAAAAAAAAAGTTAAAACAACTCTTGGGCTAGTAATTTAGAAAGAGAATACAAACTGCTTGGGATTCTGGGAATATCACTTCTTGGCCTGCATCTGGCTATACTTACACCTGTATAGTAAGACTATCCACACACACTGTGTGCTTTTCTCTTTTTTAACTTTAAATTTGTTTTTAGTCAATACAGCTGCCATACCAGGCTGGAACTCATATCAGTGCATTGCTCAGCCTCATTAGAGAAGATTCTTCTTTCAGTCTGTGGAAATGATCGCAAAGGTCCATGACTGAACAATGTGCAGACAGTGAGGGACTTGGGAGCACTCAGCCCTAACTGGGCCTGTCTATATCAAACCCCTCCCCTGAAGGCTCAGGGATCTACTCATGAGGAAAGTCAGGAAGACTGTAAGATTCAGAGGTGATGGGTGACTCCAAGGAATCAGCCTCTTCCTGACACAACATGACTGATGCACATAAGAACTCACAGAGACTGTGATAGCTTGCACAAGACCTGCACAGGTTCAAGCCAAATGAGTTTCCAGCCACTAAGAAGGGGAAATGAACACTGTCTTCATTAGGGTCTTATTGCTGTGAAGAGACACCATAACCATGGCAACTCCTATAAAGGAAAACACTTAATTGGGGTTGACTTACAGGTGCAGAGGCTTAGTCCATTACAGTCATGGTGGAAAGCACAGTGGCATGCAGGAATACATGGCACTTGGGAGGTAGCTGAAAGGTCTACATCGAGTTCAACAGGCAGCAGGAAGAGAGAGACATTGGGCCTGGCTTGAGCATTTGAAACCTCAACGCCTAACCCCAGTGACACACTGCCTCCAACAAGGACACACCCACTCTAACAAGGCCACATCTCCTAATAGTGCTGTTCTCTATGGATCTATGGGGACCATTTCCATTCAAACCACCATAGACACAAACTCCCATCCCCAACCAAGAAGCTCTTTTAATAGATATCTTTTGGGAAAGAGGAATTTAATTCTCTCCAATGAAGTGTCACTGGATATATCAACCACACTCAAGAGCAGGCCCAATGCCCAAGAATATTTGGCCAACAAAAATGGACCCCATGTTTATATGTTTGTGTAATTTTTGCTTTGGGTTTTTTTTTTTTTTTTTTTTTTTTTGGTTTGGTTGGGGTTTTTTTTTTGTTTTGTTTTTTTAATTTTGTTTTTTTGTTTGTTTGTTTGTTTGTTTTTGTCTTATGGTTTTTTTGGTTTTTAGTTTGTCTGCTCTGGTTTTCATTTTTGTTGTTGTTTTCTTGTTTAATTTTAGAGGAAAAGAGATGTCATGTTGAGTGGGGGAGTAGCATCTGGGAGGAGTTGTGAGAGGGGAAAGAATATGATCAAAATATATTATCCAAAAACACTAGTAAAAGTTTTTTAAGAAAAAATGTTTGTAGCTTTCTATGGTGCTGGGAATTGAACAGAAGACTTCATACATGGTAAGTATATGCTGTTTTTCTTAGCTACACTCCCAGCTCTGTGCACTGATATGTATGAGAGTAAAGGGTGACATAGCAAGACAATACACTTTTTTTGTAAGATCTAGAACTTGCCTAGGGAGACTTTAAGTTTACTTCCTCCCAGCACCAGTTCTTTGTAAGTGACCCAAGTTAAAACAGAATTGAAATGCTGGGTTCCAGACCACACATATGTTGTGTTCGTTGAGGATCCTAAGAAGTATTAGGTAACAGAAGGATAGGAGACCAGTAAACTATCAGCCTACATGGCAAGTGGAAAACCAAGGAAGTGGAGTTCTGGCATCAAGGTGAACCCCACATGGCATGTTTCCAAGCCCAAAAATCATGCATGCTCTCTGGGTAGGTGAGAAAAAGGGTTGTTTGGTTTCATGTAAACTGGGTGGACATTCAGACACAAGGGGATATGCATACTCTAGTCTCTGGTATATATCCTTCTATAGAACAACAACAAAAACTTGGCGCTAGATTAAATGTGTCTTGTGAGTTTGTTTCAGTCTGGTGGGGGTGCAAACTCATACAACCACTATGGAAATCAGTATGGCAGTTCCTCAGAAAGTTGGGAATCAGTCTTCCTTCAAGATCCAGCTATAACATTCTTAGGGATATACACAAAGGATGCTTTATCCTACCACAAGGACACTTGTTCAAACATGTTCATTGTTGCTCTATTCATAACAGCCAGAAACTGGAAACCGCCTAGGTGTCCCTCAACTGGAGAATGGATAAAGCAAATGTGGTACATTTACACAATGGAGTATTAGTCAGCTGTTAAAAAAAAATGACATCATGAAATTTACAGTCAAATAGATGGAAACTGAAAAAAATGATCCTGAGTGAAGTAACTCAGACCCAGAAAGATAAATATGGTATGTATTCATTATATGTGGATATTAGCCATTAAATAAATGATAACCAGGCTACAATCCATTGACCCAAAGAGGTTAAGTCTAGAGGAAGAGAGTCAGGAGGACGCATGAATCTCCCTGGGAGATTTTATGGGTAGAGTGGGGACAGGTGAGTCAGGAACAGGAGAATCATGTGGGGAAGGGGAGAGGAGATGGGGTTGATGGAGAGAATACAGAGAGAGACAGTTAGAATACTGCTCCTGTGACCAAGAACCAGTGGCTAGATAGCCCAGAGACCAAGGGTAAAACCAAATATGGGAGGAGTGGAGGGAGAGGAAACTGTAATCAGGATATATTTAAAAAAATAAATAAATAAAGACAAGACCCATTAGCAACATAGAGTATAATGAAGAACATAAAGCATGTTCCTCTACAGCCACCATGCAGGATGATGGGACAGTATATAAATAATGGGCTCCTACTGAGCAAGTTCCTTGTAATCAGACTCGTGCTTTATGCAGTGTCCTTCTCGGGGTTTCTGAAGTATGTTAAAATTCAATTTCCAGTCAATTCCCATAAAGACTGTATGATAAATGAAGAGCTGTTCTGGAACTCACTCTGTAGCCCAGGCTGGCCTAGAACTTACAGGGATCCTCCTGCTTTTGCCTCATGTGCTAAGATTAAAAGCGTGGACCGCCATGCCCAGAGGTAAACTACAATTTAACCAGGATTGTTGATTGTTTCATTTGCTTCATGTCTGGACACCTTCTTGTGGCCTTCTCTTTTGGGAAGAATGAGTCATCTTACAGAAAGTGCTAGTTGTAACAAGTATGGTTTTTCTGCCTGCCACCGCTGGTCTTGTCCCGCTGCCGCGCCAGCCCCAATTAACACACAGAGACTCTGTATTTGATACAATGCTGTTAGCCAGGTAGTAGTTTCTTATTGGCTAGCTCTGTCTTAATTATTAACCCATTTCTATGTATTTCCACGTGGTCTTACCGAAAGCGGAGGAATGGCAGTTCTGTTCTCTCCAGGCCCTCCATCCTGACTCTCCTTACAACTTCCTCTTTCCTCCTTGTCTCCTAGTCCCTCCTATCTTCCTTTCCTATTGGCCAACAGTGCTTTATTCATTAACCAGTATAAGAAACATATACAGAATGACATCTCCCATCAGCTAGTGACAGTTGTTATGACAAAACCAGGCATCTTAGGTTACTCCATCTCACATATACAGAGGATGAAATATCAGAACTGAAGGTAGGCTCTGGATTTTCCTGACAACAGATAGAATTAAAAACAAAAATTTTACCAAGATATGTGGGGTTCAGATCTTCAACAGTGTTTAAAACTAGAATGCAAGAAATTATGCCCCACAATAATCAAACATGTAGACCGAAAGAGTTTATTAAATAACATATGGCAAGATTATAAAAGACACTTTCAGAATGTTCACATAGGTTCCCAAAGCTATGTTGTTTATAAATATTTATTTAGCCCCAAACATGAAATTCTGTGGGGAAGCTTCTGTGGTGGTTTGAAAGAAAATGGTCCCCAAAGGGAGTGACCAATTCTAGGAGGGGTGTCCTTGTTGAAGTAGGCGTGTCCTTGTGAGAGGAAGTGTGTCGCTGTGGGGGTGGGCATTGAGGTCTTTTGCTCAAGCTTCATTCAGTGTGCCACTCATTCTACTTCCTGTTGCCTGCGTATCCACAAGTAGCAGCTCCTTCTCCAGCACATGTCTGCCTGCACAATGCCATGCCCCCTGCTCCTGCCCCACTCCATGATAATAATGGACTAAACCTCTGAAACTGTAAGCTACCACCTTAATTAAACGTTGCCATGGTCACAGTGTCTCTTCATAGCAATAGAAACCTGTTTTAAAACAGCTTCTTCACTCCATGAGTTGGCAGAATCTAATTTTTTTCTTCACTGCATAGACCACTGAAGAGAGGAATGTCAGTCCTTGGGAAAGAGGTCTAGCCTTATGAAAAATTCAGGTCTCGTGCATACTCAAGGGTTCTGAGGATGCCTATCACGAAGAAGCCACTTGGAAGGCTGACTTTGTCTACTTCCATCACATTTGGGATGTGACAGATAGTAGAGTTCAGAAGTACCTTCCACACGTGTAAAAAACAACCTACTGTTAGAATATTTTGTATCGAAATCAGTGTGAAAAGCCTGTGACCTTTGCTTTGTTGCCAAGAGTCAACAACACTAATGGAAGATACTTGCCATCAGTGACAGCCATGATTTCACCTTGTGACAGTTTTGCAAGACAACCATGTGGACTGGCATTCCACTTCAGGTCACCAGGTTTCGGCAATCTCTGTGAGAACCTGAAGCAGTTCAGCAAATGTCGGGCGACCTTTGGGGTTCTGGAAAAGGGAAAGAGCTGGTCAGGTCAGCGTGCCTCTCACTCAGGAATTTACAGGCGGAAACTTCAACCTATGCTGGGTCTGCACAATCTAAGAACAGTGTATCTTGGCTGACACAGTGTCATGATTTGCGTGTAAATGAGGCACGGGTGAATGTGCAAGAGTATAGGACGCTGCACAGATAAAACGGCTAGAGTTCTACACACTAGTTTCATGTGGCTATTGTAAATAAATACAAAAATGAAAATTTCAACTTGTTCCTTCAATCATACTAGCTATTTTTTTAAATCCTCTATAGCCAAAGGGGGCTACTGTTTGGATAGAGCACACATTATAATATTTCTACCACAACAGAAATTTCTTCTGGAAAATGATGGGGCTTTAGAGTGTGAGGTGTCCAATTCAGCATCAGTTGTTTACTGTATTGGTCCCCTCTAGCAGGAAGGATTTCACATAGGAAGGAAAAGGCACATCTCCTGGAGAGATTTCACAGATCTTGGAGCATGGTAAACTAAACCTGTGCAAGCAGACATCAGAGTTCCTTTCTCTGTTTTGCTTTTCAATGTGGTTTGGCTGTGTCTCCCTGAGGAATAGATGTTGTGTAATATTGAACTATGTGTAGATGTTACGTTTGTTACATTTGTACATGTTGTGGGATATTATTTAACTGTGTAAAGGTGTGTTACATTTGTTTAACAATGTAAGGATGTGTGTTTACCTATGTAAAGATGTGTTACATTTGTTTCACCTTGCCTGCCTAAGGTACCTGATTGATGATCTGATAAAAAGCTGAACTTCCAACAGCTAGGCAGAGAAAGAATAGGCAGGGCTGGCAGCCAGAAAGAATAAGTAGAAAAAGAAATCTAGGCTCAAAAGAGAAGAATGAGAGAAGAGAACAGGGAGAAAGAAAGGTACACACTTTGGACCAGAAGCCAGGCAGCCACCAGCCAGCCAGACACGAGAAGCAGTTAAAGTAAGATATACAGAAGAAAAGAAAGACAAAAAGCCCTGAGGCCAAAGAGAAACAGGTTAAGTTATAAAAGAGCTATCAAGAAACAAGCCTAAGCTCTGCTGAGCATTTACAACTAGTAAGAAGTCTCCATATCATGATTTGGAAGCTGGTTAGTGGCCCAAAAGAAAAGGCCTGGTACAAAAAGACATGGCGCTGTAGGCATCTTTGGAATGTTTGGGAATTAGAGCTACTCACAGCAAGGGAATAATGAAAAGGGGGCCAGGTGGAAGACACTGTGAGCACACACCAGGATCCTTGATGAGGACCCAAGAATAAATCACGGTGCCTTTCTAGAAGGTTCGAGTTCAGCAGATGGAATCTCTGGCATGTTTATCAATGGTAACACAATCTTTTTTTGGGAGGGGGGGCAGTTAAGACAGAGTTTCTCTGTATAGCCTTGGCTGTCAGAACTAGCCATGTAGACCAGGCTGGCCTCGAACTCACAGAGATCTACCTGCCTCTGCCTCCCGAGTGCTGGGCTTAAAGGCATGTACCACCACTGCCCAACTGACAATCTTTTTTTTTAAATTAATAAAGTCACTTTATTCCAATTAACTCACAATCAAAAATACCACATAGCCAGTTTAAGGAAGCCATTCAAATATTTACTTAGCCCCAAACTCTATATATCTCAGTGAACTTCTATACAGTTAGAATGGTCATTCTCAAGCCTCAGAACTTTATTTAGGCTATTAGAATTCCACAGTTAATTACATTTCATTCACTTACTTTACACACACACACACTAAGAGATCTATGACTCTAGTCTAGATTTTGACTTCTAGTCAAAACTAGAAAAGGTAGCTTTATATTCTATTTTAATGTGTGTATGTGTATTGTTTACATAAGTTTTCTGACTGTAATTTGAGACTGAGTTCATTTACTTATTCCTCTGTGGCATCCTTTTCACCCTTTCTCTACTCTAGCTCATATTCACATAAATAATATATAAAATCGCAATGCCCTGTGTGTGTGTGTGTGTATGTGTGTGTGTTTACTAATGCTCCATGGTCACCAACCAATAAACCCATTCCAAGTTGAAAATGCCATGAGCTAAAGATGCATTTTATGCAAGTACTCTGCCAGAAATCACAGCTTAGCAACAGTCTGTCTACAGTGATCATTTGTTCACTCGTGTGATCTGTGGCTGCCTGGGAGATATGTCCCCTCCCAGCATTCCAATAGAGACTCTTATTTATATTCTTCACAAGGAAAAGATCAACATTCAATGCTCAAAATATGGTTTATAAAGTTGGAAAATTCTAAGTCAAAGCCACCATAGCCACCATGTGCTTGTTCCTAAGCTATCTACATTAAGGTGGCAAAAACATTCCTGAGGCAGCTGTTGCTACTAACAGCTTACTTAACAATCCTCTGTCTTTCAAGATTCCTTGTGGGGCAATTAATCACTGCTATTTCCATACACTGGGGATCTTCCTAAGTGAAACATTTCTCTTAGGAATATGAACAACCCCACCATTCTTGAAATACTGGCTTTTCTAGTATTTGTGGATTGGGAATTAAATGATGGGTTGTTGTTTATTGTTGTTCCTTGTCTTTCAGGCATCAGGAGACCCTCTCCCTAAGCTGTGATTTTTCTGGGCTGAGCCTGCTAACTACAGAGCAGAGCTCTTGAAAATCACAGTCTGATGAGAGCAGGAGGGCTGTGTTGAATAGCTGCCCAGAAAGGGAGAGAAGGGGACAGAAACCCACCCTTCTGGGTTGATTTTTTAATCTTGGCATTTCAACAAAAGGAACAGCTCCTAAAACATGATTTCCCAAATGGCAGTTCCCAGCACAATCTGCCTCCTGTTTCTATTCTGGTTTAGTCTCTCTATCAGGTGTCTTAAGTGTCAGAGAGAGAGAGATGAAATACATTACTTTTTAGCCTTGAAAGTGAAGGCAAGTGAAAGCCAAGTGCAGCAAATAAAACCAGAGTCTGTTTGAGTTCACCACCCAGTTCTTCAAGATGATAAATCATTGCATTTGGAGGCTTTAGAAACATCCAGTTTCTGCAAGAACCAATCTCAGCCTGATAAGGCTTGGAAACTGAGCTCCCAGATGAAAAGTCCATTGTGAAAAGCAAAATGGACTCATGACTCTGGGGTGGGAGTTTCATATGAAATGTTGCCCTGCCTCTCAGGGAGGGCCATTACCAAGGAACAGGCCGTGCTGGCTGCCATGATGCAGTCTCAGTAGTAAGAGACACCTACCTCATGCCAGCAACTGTACATAACGCCATATATGGACATGGGGGCCAGGTGAGGGCGATACAGGCGGAACCCTTTAGAAATGGCTTCCACCACTTGCAGGTTGGACCTATTTTCAAAAGGCATTTTTCCTTCTGTAAAAACTTCCCACATTAGAACTCCTGCAAAGAAAACATGCAAAAACAGCAGTCACTTAGAACTAAAACAACGTTTGGATTCAAATTGCAAGATGTTAATCTCCTCCAGCCTCAGAGTCATAATTGCCCAGAAGAATGCAGTTCTATGTGGTTGCACACCCCTGAGTTTTTAAGAGGTCTGTAACTTGAAAATAATCCCTCGGAAAAACGATGTCGCACCTTTAGTTTTGGTCTCGACATCTCCTCCAGCACAGAAGCAGCAGCATTCTTTGCTAAGTACCACTCCTGTTCCCGCCTCCTCCTGTCCCCACCCCCTCAAATCAATAGATCTGGCTGCTCTTCCATAGACAATGACATATTTGTGGGCCTCTTCTGCCTGCTGCTTCGAGAAGTGCCCTTGACCCCCACAGCCAGCAGATGGCGCACGTCTGCCTCTGTCCATGAAGAGTCTAAATTTAAACAGGAAGGCCCTACAGGATGCAGCAGGGGCTGGGATGATAGCTCAGTTGGTAAAGTTTTTGCTTATAAACAAGAAGACCTGAGGTCGATACCCAGAACCCATGCCTGGAGCCCCTGAGAGATGCTGCAGTGGTTAAAAGTACTGATGCTTCTCTTGGACGGAAGCCATTTGGTTCCCAGCACCCATGGCGGCAGTTCACAGCTGCCAATAACTCCAGCTCCAGGGGATCCAACGCTTCTGGTCTGCATGGGCACATACACTCGTGTATAACTAAAAATTATAAAGAGAAATCGTTTTATTTTCAAATGTCTGTCATGGCGATGTATTCTAATAATCCCAGCCTGGGGGTGGGGGTAGAGGAGGAGGATAGAAACAAGTAGATTTCAGGGGCTCATTGACCACCAGTCTACTTTAATTAGTGAGCTCCAAGCCAATGTGAGATCATCTAAAAAAAAAAAGTGGATGACATTCTTCTTATTATTTTTTTAAATAATTTATTTAACTTTGTTTGATGTGCATTGGTGTGAAGGTGTCAGATCCCCAGAACTGCAGTTACAGACAGTTATGAGCTGCTATGTGAGTGCTGGGAATTGAGGCTGGGTACTCTGGAAGAACATCCAGTGCTCTTAATGACTGAGCCATCTCTCCAGCCTTGGTGGATGGCATTCTTGACAATGATACCCAGGATTGCCCCCTGGCCTCCACCAAAACGAAAAGAACAAGCTCACTAGCTCACTGGTTCTATATCCAGGGGGAAGGAAATGTGAGCCTGAGTGAGTTCCAATTGCCCTGCAGCCATCTGAGGATGGTCCTTGTCTTACTATCTACCAGGTCACCAGGATACACTCACACAATCCCTCCCCAAAAAAGCTCAAACCTCACCTGCTGACACACAAGCCACTGGAGAACTAACAAGGTCAATGATACAAGCTTAACCCTATCATGCAGAATATGCTCACACACTTGTGAGGACAAGGACATCTCCCAGACTCACACACTTGTGAGGAAAAGGACATCTCCCAGACTCACACACTTGCGAGGACAAGGACATCCCTCTAAAGCTCAAAGTCATCCAGGAAGACCTAGAAGTAAACTAAGATTTGTGCTCATCAGTTGCCATGGTTGGAAAATCAACTCAGATGAACAAGCTGTATTGGGCACAGATCTACAGTGTCTCTGTCTTGGTGGAGAATGTTAGTCAATATGAACATCCATGAACAGACCCCAAGCAGCCAAGGTGCAAATCCCATCAACCCTGACAGTATTAAGTGAAGGAGGTAAGCGGGTGTTTTTCTTAGATCTAGATGTTAAGCTCAAATTGTCAAGTTGAAAAACAGTCAAGCAAGCCACTGCATAAACAGTGGAGCTTATTAAACACACTGGAAACTCCGTGAAGAAGTAGACCATTTCCTTCAAACCTCTGTGATATGGGAGCACTGGCTTCCTTTGCCTTCTAGGCCAGCAGACTGGCAACAGCTCTCCAGAGAAGGAAAGATCCCAAGAACAGAGCTGTGTGAGGGGGTGTGTGAATCCAGTTGCCAAAGAAGTTACAAGAAGGCTTTTAGGTTTATTTATCAATCATCTATGCAGTGTTCTGCCTGCATGTGTACCTGCACTCCAGAAAAGAGGGTATCAGATCTCATTATAGATTGTTGTGAGCCACCATGTGGGTGCTGGGAATTGAACTCAGACCCTCGGGAAGGGCAGCCAGTTGTTCTTAACCTCTGAGCCATCTCTCCAGCCCTCAAGAAGGCTTTTAAAGAATGCTACATTATGACAAACACACAAACAAGCAAGAGTTGAAAAGAAAAGGCAACCACTGAATTCAATCTAGCAACAGCAAATGTACTCACCAAATGACCAGACATCAGATTTGCTACTGTACTTGTTAAAATGAAACACTTCAGGTGGGGACCACTTGACTGGGAACTTAGCTCCGGAGGAACTGATGTATTCATCATCCAAAACGTACCTGCCATCATGGGATTCAAGCACACTGTATTAATATCCACCGAGGTCTAATTACTTCAAATACTTCTGTCTGCTCCGACGTGAAACCCAGCGTTTTCCCCTAGAAAACACCATGTCATCTTGATGGCAGGCAGTAAAGTCTCCCTTTATTTGGTTTCTTCTCCTAGAACCTTGTCTCCTTGATTTATATTTTCACTGGATCTCTGAAAATTACAGAACTATGTCCCAAAACTTGGGAAGCACTTATGTTCATTAAGGTCTAGTCTTAATTCTGCAAAGAAATGGACCTGTGCTCTAGCAACAAGGATAATGAAAAGGAAATAAATGGCAAATGAAAGGCCACTCATACCGTAAAAGAAGTATACAAGATTGGCTGCCATATTTTCTTTCAAGTACTTATTTTTGTATGTGTGTGTGGCATAAAAGGAGAGAAATGTCATCATACTTCTGATGTGAAAAATATTCAGTATATTATTATGTATATTTTGTACCAATTAGGAATAACTGAAGCCCTCTCTCGTTTTTAAGACTCGTACACAGGAATGTCAAAGGCATGGGAACCTAGAGAGAGGAGGAGCTGACTCTGGCCCCTTTCATCTACAGTATAATGTCTTCACACTCGCATTTCTTCCCATATATTCCATGTTATTTCACTTTAAACCCTTTTCTGTAGAGACTACATACAATGAGGCTGAAGAGATGGCTCAGTGGTTAAGAGCTCTGGCTGCTCTCCCAGAGGGCACAGGTTCAATTCCCAGCACTCACACAGTGGTTTACAATGGCCTGTAACTCCAGTTCCAGGGGATCAAGTGCCCTCTTCTGACCTCTGCAGTAATTGCATACATGTGGCACACAGACACCCAAAAACACCCACACACAGAAAACAAAAGTGAAGTCGGAAAAAGACTTAAAGACTGTAAAGCTGGATGTTCTTTAGTTTCAGCACTTGGGGGGCAGAAATGGGGGGTCTCTTTGTGAGTTTGATGCCTGAGTTTGAATTCATAGGGTAGAAGGAAAGAACTGATTCTCACATATGTGTCCTGATCTCTACACATCTGCACAGCATGGCATACCTGAGGATGCAAG